TTCCCTCGTCTATAAATACCCTTTTGGGGAAAATTTTAGAGAGTTTTTTTTTTTTGTTTGAGCTATTTGAGCATTTCTTTTGCTTGAGGCTTGCTCTATACTTTATGAAAGTTGTTCGAGGGAAGTTTTTGTTGGTTCAATTTTTTCTGACTCGTATACTGAAGAGGAATTTTGGTTGATTCGCTATTTCTTTTGGATTTGGCTTCTTCCATTCTTGGGATTTGGAGATTATTTCTGCTTACTACATCTAAGTTTTTTAAAAAAATTTCTGGAAGCATTCGGAACTAAGTTCCCCTCCTTTGCTTCAACTGTTTCAAAGGATTCTTGACTTTAGAAAGACATTTATATAAGAATTTATATTCATGAGATGGACTTGTGTTACAATATCAGGAAGTAGATAAGATTTTTAATGGATCATTATTCCCTCAAGTGATTAGAATTCGGATTTGATGCTTTGGATCATTGGATAATCTGTAGAAGTTCTGGATTGTGGGGAAATAAAGATTTGAACACTCTTGTGAGAAGTTGGTGTTCCCTGTATTATTTCATTGGCTTCTATACGGTTCAGATACATGTGAATTCTCTTGTATCATTTGCTTTGAAGGTGTGGTGCACTTAATTTTACTGCTTGTGGACCCCTACTGTTTAATTTCTAAACTCCAATTCTTTACACACACGCTAACCGATTCTTATCCATTTACATATCTAACACCTCTCATTTTTTTTTCACATTATCAGTATTTCTGATTTGCGATTCAGATTTGGGAAAACTAGTTATCTTGCATTCTTTTATAATTCTACTACATACTTTTTTATTGGGAGATGAACACATTTTGCTTTGAATATAAATGTACTTGGGAAGATTTCTCATATGCACCTCTTGATGGCTGCATATTCACAAAATCAATATTGAACTATTTCACATTTATGCTACCTAAAGCTTTTTCACTAAATCAACATACGAGATGTATAGTTTTTATTTACAATTTGGAGATATTTGAAGATTGAAAGTTTATTTGAACCTTAAAATTGTTATATAGGATTGGTATATTAATACATTCGGAATTTGTTTTGGTGGCTCGGTTTTACTTCTTATACTACTACTCTTGCTCGAATACATGATGGAAATCTTTTTTATAGTTTGGAAAATATATTTTGCGTTCGGTTTTGGTGCTCCTTGATGCCCCTTGTACAAATACCTGCTGGAATTCATTTTTATGGTTCAAAAATATATATGGGACTCGATTTTTATGATCCTTGCGGGGCTCGATTTTTATGCTCCTTGTTGCCCCTTGTACAAATATCTGCTGGAATTCATTTTTATGGTTTGAAAATATATATGGAGTTGGGGTTTTATGCTTTTTGCTGCCCCCTTATTTGAATAACTATTGGAAGTCATTCTTTACGGTTTGGAATACATATTTGTGGCTCGCTTTTAGCCCCTTCGTGGTTTGAATTCTTTTTGGTGATATCTCATTCTTTTCTAGCTTCCAGCCACCTATTGGATTCACTTTTACTCCTTGGCTCTCTTTTACTTGTGAAGTATATCATATAGTAGTTTTGGATTTTAATCCCTTGTTGGAATTGGCTTCCTGTTTACATAAATTTCATAAGTTTGAACTTGGCAACATGAGAAGAGAAACATATTTCTCCTTGAAAATTTGATAGAGCTTGCAATGATCACATGTACAAGTTTAAAGTTTGAACTTAAAGGTAGAAGGTGAATGTTTTAGAAATTCTTAAATGATTACTTCTCTCATTTTCTATATATGAAATATACAAAATTTTATTGGATGAGCATATGAAATATTAAGGTGGCCTATTAGTTCGAGATGAGGGACAACAGGCAATGATGCAAGAGAACCATTGATCAACTCTTCTTATAGCTGAAAATAAAAATCAATATTCAGTTAGAGTGATGCCCTTTCACCCCTAAGTCGTCGACATCTCTAACTCAATATTCAATTAGTGTGATGCCCTTTCACCCCTAAGCCTTTGTGTTCTCCA